AAGGCAGATTTATTAGAGAAAGTATAAAACTATGTTGCAAGGAAGCAATGGGCAGGCTGGCAAAAGAGAAGCTGAATGAAACGAGACAAAGGCTTGCTGGGGATTTTATAGGATGGAGCTCGTGCCGTGTGCTGAAGAGGGTTTTGTGCAGTACTGATGACGTCAAGGTTGCAGTGAGCTAGCTTGCATTCTTTCTGTCAGCCGAGGGTCTGGAGATAGCTGAGAGCAGGAAGACTGTGTGTTATTTACGCAAGAGGGCTATGTGTCCTGGACCATGAAGAAAGGCAGACTTATAGCTTATCTGCTTTTTTTTTTCTTCTTTTAGACAGAGTCTCACTCTGTTGCCCAGGCTGCAGTGCAGTAGCATGATCTTGGCTCACTGAAGCCTCTGCCTCCCTGGCACAAACGATTCTCCTACCTCAGCCTCCCGAGTAGCTGGGACTACAGGCACCTGCCACCATGCCTGGTTAATTTTTGTATTTTTGGTAGAGATGAGGTTTCACCTTGTCATCCAGGCTGTTCTGGAACTCCTGACCTCAAGTGATCCACCCATCCCCACCTCCCAAAGTGCCAGGATTACAGGTGTGAGCCACCACGCCTTGTCTGCTTCCTCTTTTTGCTTTCCCTTGATCCCACCAACCCCATTCTCCACTTCCCTCAGCCCCCAGTTAGGACTCCACAATTCTCCCAACTCCATTTAAGGTGAGAGTTCATGAAGTACTAGCTTGGCTGCTGGGCCACTTTATGAGGTTGACAGTGAGGGGATTCTGAGGAGGTGCCCCATGGGTGTCTATGCTGGCACTGGTCCCTGTTGCCACTCACAGTGTTATTCTTGCCATTCCCGCTTTCTCAGATCTCTACAAGCCTGCCCCTACTCCTTATTTAGGTCTCAGCTCAAATACCACCTCCTTGGAGAAATCTCTGCTGACCACACTTGTTGAACTGACAATCGGCTCCTCCCCTGCCCTTTTCTGATATGGAATGAATTGTGTCCCTCTCTCTTTGCAAAAAAATTCATATCGGTACCATCCTAGTCCCGGGCATGCAGAATGTGACTGTATTTGGAGATAGGGCCTTTAAGGTGGCAATGAAGTTAAAATGAGGTCTTAATCTAATACAAATGTGTCCTTCTAAGAAGAGGAGATTAGGACACAGACAGGCATGTAAGAAAGACCATGTGAAGATATAGAGAGACGTACAAGCCAAGGAGAGAGGCCTCAGAAGAAACCCACCCTCCCAACATCTGATCTTGGACTTCTGGCCTGCAGAATTGGGAGAAAATAAATTTCTGTTATTTAAGTCACTCAGTTCCTGGTGTTTTGTTACAGCAGCCTTAGCAAGCTCGTACACTCTCTATCCCTTTTCCTGGTTTTATATTTCCTCAAGAGGCAGGTGGTTAAGATCAGGCAGCGTGGTTAAGATCATAGCCCTATAGCGTGGTTAAGAGCATAGCCCTGGGTGTGGCTGCAATAAGGGCAGTAGTAGTGGCAGCAGCCACTTCCTGTGTGTAGACAGGAGAAGTGACTGGTAGGAATGTGGTGTGGTGGTGGCTAGTGCTGAAGACAGGCCTGGGTTAGGCTTGAGGGACAAACAAGCAAGGTTAGGCTGAGGTGGCCAGGGCTGAGGCTGGGCTGGAGAAGGGGCTTTGCACCTGCGGTGGCACCTGGGACACCTCTTCTCCCTGATGCTGTTGGCCTGCCCATCCAAGGCAGGAGGGGCTGACTCCCTTCTAAGCAGGTTCTGGCTCTCACTCTGTTCCCAAGGGGCTCTAGTTGCAACCCAGTTGGTAAGACCTCATAAACCATCATTGGGCACATTACTGCCACCAACCCTATTTCGTTTGTTGACCAGGTTTTGGTGAGCCTGTTCATTCAGTGAGCTAGAAGGGGTGGATTTTGCAAAATAGTTGAGGCATATATTAGGCCCCCACTAAAGGCCTTGGATATGAGTAAGTACATGCAGATAACTGGGACTAGAAACAGCAGACAGCTACAGTCATTTCGTTCTGGAATTGGAAATTGCTTTGTCTTCAAGGCATAAATGGTTCCCCAGAACACTCAGCCTCTCTTTCAGTCCCTAAGTCTGCCAGCCACCCAGAATCCAGTTGTTGACACCGGAAAGACCAAATGCCCTGAGGCCTGACTCAACTCTTCACTTGTCACCCAGATGCATTAACACCATGTAGACACAGAATTGCCAAACTTGCCTGGGCTCCCCGGGGTCCAAATGTGAAAACTGGAAAGCTGCTGCTTTACTCTTTTCTGGCTCTTCCTGTATTCTGCTGTCTACAAGACTTAATATCAACATTTTTGTTTACATTTCATAAGAACTTCAGCTTTTGTGAGACATTCTTTCCCTATTTGGCCCACTGTAGTGCTAATTTCTGGGAAAGTTCTCTCCTCTTTTCTGGCTTGTTCCAGGTTCACTCACTTTTTATATTTTCATAGTTCTTCTATTCTCCTCTTTCTTTCCTTTCTCTCTGGTTCTATTTTCCTATTTAAAAGGTGACTTTAAAAAATTGGCTCTGCTGCTGGGCATGGTGGCTTACGCCTGCAATCCCAGCACTTTGGGAGGCTGAGGTGGGTGGATCACCTGAGATCGGGAGTTGGAGACCAGCCTGACCAACATGGAGAAACCCCGCCTCTACTGAAAATACAAAATTGGCCAGGTGTGGTGGCGCATGACTGTAATCCCAGCTACTCAGGAGGTTGAGGCAGGAGAATCGTTTGAACCCAGGAGACAGAGGTAGAGGTGAGTTGAGATTGCGCCATTGCACTCCAGCCTGAGCAACAAGAGCGAAACTCCGTCTCAAAAAAAAAAAAAAAAATATATATATATATATATATATAGGCTCTGTTTTCTTCTCCAATTACTGTCTTTCTTTCTCTTTTCTGCTCATCCTTAAAGACTTTCCCTTTTTGTTCTCATCTTCATCTCCTACTCTTCTGGCTCTAACTGAAGTTCTTACCCAGTTTCCCTCCTGACCTTCTGGACCACCACCTGCTTTCCCAAGGTTCCTCCTTTCCCTCCTGTGGAGATGCCTCTCTTAGAACCCTTGCTTTTATCAGGGGCCTACAATCTCTGCATCAGTAGAAACCAGCCAGCCTATCTGTTTGAGGGCTAACACTGCCTTGTGCCTTATTTCAAATAACACAGTGATCTGTACATAGAAGTTACTCAATGATATTTTAATTGATTTTATTAGGTTCCTTTTTACGCTTATCTTAGAAGAGGTATATGACTTTGGATTGGGTAATAAAGAGCCGTTTATTGCATGTGTACAAATTATAAATTCCCAGGCACACCTTGATCATATCAGGATCCTTTTGTTAGCTTTATGGGGCATGAAGTTGGCACCAAAGTATTCATGGAGATGCACAAGTAAGGAAGTGAAGCCAAAAGGATGTCTGATCATACAATCAAGCAAGCCCCCTAAGTAGCCAGGGCATGAACTTTGTTTATCTCCGAAATGCCCAGAAGAAAAGGCAAGAGTGTGATTCTTCCCTTGCCTCCATAGCAATTCATTTGGCTATCTACTTTTTAAAATTACCAATGGCTAACCCTCTAAGGGTACCATGCCTGGCCATGAGGCCTCATGACTCAAAGTCTTAAGATTTATAGCTTTTTCCTTGGAGACCAAGGACATTCCTGTGGGTGACACCTTTTTATTACCCAGAGGTTAGTCATTTACTATGGTGATCTATTCAAATAAATTGGTTGCCAGGCCACGTCTTCAGGTAAGAGTTCACACTGTCATTAAATAATCCCCAGCCACACTGTGACTTCTATGTGCAAGCCTAGAGGGGACAATGTTGCAGGAACAGTGCCAGCCACTAAGACACTTTCAAATTTATCCTAGAGAATGCCAAGATAGCTTCTCAATTCCATCAAATGAGTCCCTTACAGGAACATATCCCTAAGCTGAAAAACTGCAGGAAATAATTTATCTTTATGTTATTAATTGGTTATTATAAGGGCTACAAGAATTATTTAGGAAACAGATGATAACTGGTTTTCTCCATAGGTTACATAAGCCGGTTCCTGCAAAGATTCTTCCCCTACCCCCCTTAATTTTTTTTTTTTCCTCAGAGATCCTTGTTTTGACCTGCAAGGATTCTTTGACCTGGTGCTTTTCCAGATAAAGTGTAAGAGTCAGGATTTCTGGATTTTGTTCCTAGATATGAGTGAGCTTGGATAAGTAAATCATTTTCTCTTTTAGTCTGTTTGGGCTTCTGTAACAAAATATCATAAACTGGGTAGCTTATAGATAATATACATTTATTTCCCACAGTTCTGAAGGTCGGGAAATCCCCAGGCCAGCAGATTTGGTGTCTGGTGAGGGCCTGCTTTCTGGTTCACAGAGGGCGCCTTCTGGCTGTGTCTTCACATGGTGGAAGTGGCAAGGGGTCCCTCTCCGGCCTCTTTTATTAGGGCACCGATCTCATTCATAAGGACCCTGCCCGTATGACCCAATCACTTCCCAAGGCCTCCACCTCCTAACACATCACCATGAGGGTTAGGATTTCAACATATGAACTTTGGCGGGATATAAACATTCAGACTATAGCACCCTGAGAGTAAAAATGAGATAATAATACTTATCTCTTTCTTCCAACAAAAAGATAAGGTGAAGTTAAAAGGAGGGTGTATATATAATGTGAATTTCCTGTGCAAAATGTGTTAAAGAGTTGTCTGATTAATTGCTTCATAAGGGAATTGCTTTGAGACTAGGCCTATTGATCTAGAATAAGTAGTCAATTTGTAGTCAGTTCCCTAGGCAATAGACATTGAAAAGGTTTTTGGTTTTGTATTCTACAAATAAAGTAACCTATTAATTGAATTCCCCTCAGTGAATTCTTCACTCAGGTGATTCTGGAGAGGGCGGGGGAGAGACGCGGCCGCAGCCCAGGCCCCCGGAGCGCCACGGAACCGAACGGTGGTGGCGGAGGGCGCGCCCTCAGCCCGCGCTCTGCCCGTCGGGAGCTTCCTGGTCGCCCCTGCGGGGTGTCAGGCGGACGTGGGGCTCGCCCAGCAGGGTTCGGGGAGAGGCTGGGCTGGGCAAGGGAGCCGCCCCGCCTCGGGAGAGGCGGGCCGGGCGGGTCTGGGAGTATTTGAGGCTCGGAGCCACCGCCCCGCCGGCGCCCGCACCTCCTCGTTAGCAGCCGTCCGGAGCCAGCCAACCAGCGGTGAGCGGCGCGGGGCGCTGGGGACGCGGCTCCGGCCGGGCAGGGTTGAGGGCGCCCGGGCGCTGCTTGGGGCGCGGCTCGGAGGGGGTTCGGCTCCCCAGGACCAGGCCGGGGCGCGCGCGGAGAGCCCCACAGCCTGTGCTCTGCCCTCCGGGTGCGGGGCGGCGGGCCCGGGGCGGTCGCCTTTGATTCTCGAGGGCGCTGGCGCTCGGGAAAGGTTGGCAGCGCCTTCCGAGACCCACACACGTCCCCGCGGCGGCACGGGCCACCTGCGGAGCCTCGGGGGCTTCACCGCCGTCGCACCTCCGCCGGCTGCGCTCTGCGGCCCCGGAGTAAGCCCCATCCGGTGAAGAGCCGCGGTCTGGGCACCCCAGTCCTGCCAGGTCCCGCTGCGAGGGGAGGCGGAGGGACTCGCTCAGCAAACCAGACGGCCGCGCCAGTTTCTCTAACTGGGGTTGGGGCCGGGTCACCCTTCCCCAGAGCTCGGCCGCGGGGAAGCGAAGGGACTTCTGAGGACTGCATAGGGCGCCTCCCGGGACTCATAGCTTGGCTCGCCCGGCCCCTTTTGAGCATCAGCTGAGGCTGGACTCGGAGGAGATCTCTCTGTGGGGCGCGAATGAGTTCTTCCACGAGGACCAGCTGCGGCCGGGCTGCAGCCGCTCTCTGGTTGCTGATCCCACAGAAATGGTGCTCGCCCCATGGCCTGAGTGGGCATGACCCGGCTTAGCAAAGACTGCAAACTCTAAGCTTTTCCGAATCAAATGCCCCTCCCTGCCCAGACTGTCTGTGCCGAGGAAGTGTTGGGTGTGGCAGAATGTTGGTCCTATTGTGCAGAGCCCTAGCGGGGGACTCCCAAAACATGTTTGAGAGTTTATTCTGAATTATTGGGTGCTCACATAGAAACACTAAAACGATTGCCCTCTGAGAAGTAGGCGCTAAGGGCCAGGGAATCGGGGACGCATAGTGGAGACTGGGACTTAGGCTTCAGTCTTACCCTTCAAGTTAGCCATGCCGATTCCAGAGACTGCGGAATGTTTGTAAAGTGACTCTGGGAGTTGGGTTGCTGCACAATGAGGACACCTGGACCTCAGTGACCCAGGCTGTTTCTAGGATTCTGGGAAAGGAATGGGAGAAGGCTCAGTTAATTCTGAAGAAAATGAGGCTGATACAATGAACCACTTGGGTACAGAGCTTGAGAAGAAAAAGCTTTCGTCAGCTTCCAAAGTTCTGATTTGTTTACCTCAAGGTTTTTTGTTTTTGTTTTTTTTGTTTGTTTTTTTGAGACGCAGTTTCGCTCTTGTTGCCCAGGCTGGAGTGCAATGGCACGATCTCGGCTCACCGCAACCTCCACCTACCAGGTTCAAGCAATTCTCCTGCTTCAGCCTCCCGAGTAGCTGGGATTACGGGCATGCGCCACCATGCCCAGCTAATTTTGTATTTTTAGTGGTGGTGGTGGTGGGGGTGTCTCTCCATGTTGGTCAGGCTGGTCTCGAACTCCTGACCTCAGGTGACCCGCCCGCCTCGGCCTCCTAAAGTGCTGGGATTATAGGCGTGAGCCACTGCGCCTGGCCTACCTCAAGTTTATAAACATTTCATGCTAGGAAATTGTGTGTTTCCATGAAAGGTAAAGTTGAATAATGATCATTTACTTTTCTACAACAATAGTCTCCCTTTTAGACATTGACTCTCAAACCTTAGGGTAGGGTCTCTCATTCTAGGGATGATCATACCCCATCCTTGATCTTTGGGGGGTTTAAGCAGCTTCCTAAATTCATATTTAGAGGTGACATTTAAAATCAGCACTTAGTCCAGATTCTGGGGAGAACTTTGATGATGGTCCTTGAATATTTAGCACTTAGAAGTGCTAGGAGGATGCCTCACTAAGTTACGTAAGAAGCAGAAGAGGACGAGTACTGCCTGATGGATTGAACCTGAAAACTAGTTGTGTCCAAGTAGAATAGGTGTCTTGCTCTGTTAAGGGGTCTTTAATCTATGATAGTTCGCTGTGCTACAAATATGCATAGGTGCTTTATAAAGATTTTTCACTTAGTGAGGTCAAGAGGCTAATGCTGGTCTCATGTATAATTTAGGTACCTTTTTACATAGAACCTTCATTAGCCAGACTCTAAACCTTAACTGCAGCTGAGACCTATGTTCATGTAGTATGCCTTCAGAATCTCGTGTTGACCTTAAATGCCAAGTGACTTGTAAACTTATGTACTTGATACTTGCGGTAACTGATCTCAAACATAGCTCTTCTTTCCTGTCGTTTGGGACACAGGCTCCCACTCAAGAGTAGCTCCTTGTGTCTGGTGCCTGAGCTGATCTTCTCATTAAATTCTGAGTGGGTAACTTGAGAGCCAGGCTAGGCAGTGCTTGCTGTATACTTCCAGTTCGCTATTGACTAAGTGTCATGTGTTCTCTTTTGACCCCTGTTCAGCTTTTCCATAGCGGGAAAAAATCAGTCACTGAGAAGCAGAAAGTAACTCTACCTTCCTTGATGCCAGGGAGCTACGATGAGAAAGAAATCCTAGGAAAGGACCAGTTCCCTTTATTCCAACTTAGCATCACTGGATTTGTCTTTGGAAAATGGCCTTTCCTCAAGTCCTGCTCTGTGTTTCAGCAAGGACAGAAAGTAGACTGCCTCTTGTGCTACTTGAGGAGCAGTGTGGGGCAGTGCCTAGGGGCTCAGGAAATAGTCTTCTTTGCGTACAGGTCAGGGACCTTTATGAGCAGAAATTTCAGAAGTATTCCTGGGAACCCAGACAACCAGACTGATTGCTGAGTGGGCCTAGAATAGCATAGTGCGGCATATAGCTACTCTTTGTTAAAGGCAAAAGCTACCAGTTAACAACTGATTAAAATGGGCTGTATTCTAACTCATGTTTACATTCCTTATTCCAGAGCTACACTGAACTACTTACTGTAGGTGTTTACAAATGTGGAGACCCAGCTAGTATTTCTCTACTTTTAGTTTATTTTTTGAAGTGGTGTTTGTTTTTTTTTGTTTTTTTTTTTTTCCCCCCTCTGACTCTTCAAAATTCTCTGATCCTGGAAACACCAGGATGGGGTTCACATATCTATAGTGTCTGTAGAGTGGGAGGATTTCTGACATTTGATTGTATGTCTCTCTCTGTAAACTACTCATCTGAAAAGAAAAAAGAAAAAATTTTCAGGCAAGTAAGGATGATATTTATCTGAATAGATGTCTTTTTTGTTTTCCTGGAAGTTTTGAGGTTAATAATCTTGATTTCAAAAGAGCATCAGTTATAATGCTTTTTTTTCCTTGAGATGGAGCCTCACACTGTCTTCCAGACTGGAGTGCAGTGGTGCCATCTTGGCTCACTGCAACCTCTGCCTCCCGGGTTCAAGCAATTCTCCTGCCTCAGCCTCCCTAGTAGCTGGGATTACAGGTGCCTGCCACCACAGCTGGCTAATTCTTTGTATTTTTAGCAGAGATGGGGTTTCACTATGTTGGCTAGGCTGGTCTTGAACTCCTGATCTCATGATCCTCCCGCCTTGGCCTCCCAAAGTGCTGGGATTACAGGCGTGAGCCACTGCGTCCGGCCTATAATGCTTTTCAAAAAAGAAATCTCATGGTTGGAAGTTGACATAATCAAAACGGTGCATACCCAATTTTTGGGAAAGTACACTTTATTGGTTAAAATGTGGTTATAATTAGCAAAGTGACTATACAAAATGGCATTCTTGTATTAAATATTCAATATTATTTTGTGCTTGAATGAATCACCCAGTTAGTTTTCTGACCAAAACACAATCCTTTTAAAATTTTGTTTACAATTTCAGTGTGTTATGTAGTTACGGATGAGTTAGTCAGAGAATTAATTTCCCAATGAAGTAATTAACACTTTCAAAGGACTGTACTTTAAAATTTCAAAGTGTGATATTTTCTATTGGTGTAGAATGAGCCTAAATAAGGAGTAAAAAGACACGAGCCCTACTCCTTGATCTGCCAACGACAGATGACTTTGGGCCACCATGTTCTCTCTCTGAGCCTCAGTTTCCTTATGGTGAGAACACAGGAGTCTCCCCCTTATTTTCAGGGGATGCATTCCAAGACCCCCTGTGGATGCCTCAAACCATGGATAGTACCAAACCCTATATATACTGTTTTTTTGATCTGATAACCAAGCCTGCTACTAAGTGACTTGTGGGTGGGTAGCATCTGCAGTGTGGATAGGCTGGACAAAGGGATGATTCATGTCCCAGGCTGGACAGCGAGATGGCAGGACAGTACAAGATTTCACCACAAAGATTGTCATTATAACTAAAATAGATAAGGTATGTGAACATGCTTTATAAGCTGAAAAGCACCACACAAATGCCAGGTTTTGTTCTAGTGGCCTTGTCTAATATGTCGAGACAGAATCTATACTGCCCTCTGAGGTGGTGTTGAAACAGTGGAAATGCAGTGAGATCTGCTTTGTTTCCCAAACTGGATTTGGTTAGATTGGAAAATAAACTAAACATGCTTGAGTGGAGGCTTTGAAAAGAATAAATATTAAATTATGGAAATGCCTTCTTTATTTGACTTTCTGGTTGGAATCAGCCTTTAAACACATCTTAATTTGAATAGAGTGATGTTAGGACCCTTTATAAAGCAAATTCAGGCTAGTTTGAACAATTGAAACTACCTTTTTGGTTTTGTGGAACCACGTGTGTACATTCGTGTAGGGATACACTGCTAACTGGCTAGATTGGCGGTCCTCAACTAGCCATGATTTTGCTCCCAGGGGATATTGGCAATGTCTGAAGACATTTTTTTCCCTTTTTTTGGTAGAGACTGGGGTTTCGCTATATTGCCCAGGCTGGTCTTGAACTCCTGGGCTCAAGCAGTATTCCCACCTCAGCCTCCCAAATGACTGGGATTACAGGTGTGAGCCACCTCACCCAGCCTGAAGACACTTGGTTGTCACAAGTTGGAGTGTGGTGTGCTGGAGTTCTGGCAGCATATGTAATGAAGCCAGCAATGCTGCTGAACATCCTACAGTGCACAGGACGGCGCCCCACAGCAAAGCATCTGACCTGAAGTGTCAGTGGTTCTGAGGTTTACAATAAGCTCCTGTGCAATGAGGACATTTAAAAGAAATCAAAATGTTGATAACATTATTGCTGGGTCTTTGATACGTTGCCTTAGGCTGGAAGAAGTATGTGTAATTAAAGGAACTAAGCTTTCTGCCCACCTAGAAGTTCAAGATTGTTTCCTACTGGCATCCAAAATGAGGGAGACTTTCTTTTCCTGAATTAAAAATTTTCATTTATTTTCCTTTTCTGTAACAACTCTTCTCTCAAGTTCCCCCTCCTGTAGCAACACAGTTTCTTATACAATAGTGTGGCAGCCTTTTGGGGAAGGAGGCACATGCAGAGGAGCTCACAACTTTTGCTTTAAAAAGCCAAGCACTACAGGATGTAAAAAGTAAATGAAAGATGCAGTAACCTCTGGAGTCAGACTTCCCTGTCAAGCTGCCAGCAGTTCCCTAGGTTGGAAAATGGGCATGGTCATAACCTAACAACTTCTGAATAGGTTTCAGAATGACCATGTTCAAAAAGAGATGTGTGGCTGGATGTGGTGGCTCATGCCTGTAATCCTAGCACGTTGGGAGGCTGAGGTAGGAAGATCACTTGAACCCAGCAGTTTGAGACCAGCCTGGGCAACATAGTGAGACCCCGTGTCTACGAAAAAAATAACTTAGCTGGGTGTGGTGTTGTGTGCCTGTAGTCCCAGTTACTTGGGAGGCTGAGGTGGGAGGATCACATGAGCCTGGGAGGTGGAGGCTGCAGTGAGCCCTGATATCATGTCACTGCACTCCGGCCTCTGCAACACAAGACCCTGTCTCAAAAAAAAAAAAAAAAAAAAAAAAAAAGTGCAAAAATATTTTAGTCAAAGGTAATGTCTGACTATAATATAAATAATAGCAGTATAGTACAGGATGAGCATCCCCAGAGCAGAAATCTGAAATGCTCCAAAATCCCAAACTTTTTGCATGTCTGCATGATGCTCAGAGGTAATGTTCTAAAGAAATGCTCACTGGAGGTCTTGGATTTTGGCTCTTCAGATTAGGGATGCCTAACTGGGTATATGGACATATTCCAAAATCTAAAAAAAAAAGGAAATCAGAAACACTTCTGGTCCTATTTCAAATAAGGGATACTCAACCTGTATAAAATATCCAGTGTGTGTAAATGAAGCATGTTAAGCCCTAGGAGGAGCTCTGCCTGTTCGAGTTTTACCAAAAAATGTAATATTTTGTGCTTTTTTTTTTTTTTTTTTGAGACGAGGTCTCGCTTTGTCACTCAGGCTGGAGTGCAGTGGTGCAATCACACCTCAGTGCAGCCTTGACCTCCTAGGCTGAAATGATCCTCCCACTTCAGCCCCTCAAGTAGCTGGGACCACAGGCTGCACCACCACACCTGGCTAATTTTTGTATTTTTCATAGAGACAGGGTTTTGCCATATTGTCCAGGCTAGTCTTGAACTCTTGGGTGGATTGCTCAAGCAATCCACCCACCTTAGCCTCCCAACGTGCTGGGATTACAGGCATGAGCCATGTCCAGCCAATATCTTGCATTTGAATCAAGTAGTGGACATTTGTTGGATCCCTTGGGGCGACGTCATTTCTAAAAGTGATTGCGTAAATATCACAGGTGGGCAATCAAGAAGGATATTCTGGTTGTTTCAAGGTCCAGGTAATTCAGGCCATGGCACAGGTGATCCTGAGCTTAGGAAGAACTCACCCATGCCTCAGGGGCCCAGCCGCCCTCCTCCCCTCACAGCTGGAGCACCTGCAACAGCTGTGAAGCATCTTGTGCTTTAGGAGCCTTGACATGGGAAGGAACAGGAGAAAGCAGGATTGATGTCTCCAGACCACCCCTTGTGGCAGCTCTGGGCAAGGCAAACCCTCTTTGGTAGCCTCTTACACCCGAATATTTTTTTCCTTCACGTTGCCTGAATTTTTTCACCTTAGTTTGTTGTACTGCCAAAGATTTTATTTGGAATAACAAGTACCTTTAAAAAAAAAAAGCACATACAAACTTCAGCTGCCCTTTGAGGCTTAGCTCCAACAGCACCTTTCTTTTCCTTCTTAGAAGTAAGCTTTCTGCGTTTGAATTCCTACAGCACACATTCTGACTCATAACATTCGTGACTTGTTATTTCACATTTCCATGGATGCATCTCATCTGCCTTGCTGGACTGTGGGCCCTTTGGCTTTCTTTTGTTTTAATTCTTAATCTTTATGGGTACATAGCAGGTATATATATTTATGGGGTACATAAAGATGTTTTGACACAGGTATGCAGTGCATGATAATCACATCATGGAAAATGGGGTATTCATATTCTCCTTTATTTGTGTTACAAACAATCCAAGTATACTTTTAGTTATTTTCAAATGTACAATGAAATTATTGACTATAGTCACCCTGTTGTGCTGTCAAATATCAGGCCTTATTCATTCATTATAACTATTTTTGTCACCCATTAACTATCCTCACCTCCCTCCCACCCACCCACCCCCACTACCTTTCCCAGCCTCTGGTAACCATCCTTCTACTCTATACCTCTGTGGGCTCAACTGTTTTGAGTTTTAGATCCCATGGCCCCTTTGACCATGCAGATCATGGCCTATTCATCTTCGCACCTAGACAGGAGCCTGCGCAGTGCCTGGCCAAGAGCAGGCATAAGTGTGTGCAAATAGAGGAATAAATAACAGGGCAGCAACTATGTCTGGAGGTCATTGTCTTTCCTGTCTCAGTGGGAATCAATCACTGCTGATCTTCAAAAACCCTGAGGAGGGGATGGGGCAGTTAGTGGGGACAGAGGGCAGATGGGCAAGATGAACACACCAAACCCTTTATAAGGGGTAAGGAAGGAAGGTGAAGAAGAACCAAAGAGAAACCATGACCGTTTACATTTTTCACCTGGGAAAGGGACAGGACCTTTTCTTCCTCCCTGCCTCCTCCTCCCTTATGCATTGTATGGCCTCTTGGTCTCAGGATTCAGAGCACAGGCTAGTGTGATGGAAGTTTAAACTTGTGAGTTATATTTAACTCACAATCTAGCTGGAAAGCATCCCTGCCCCTTGAAGAGATGTTTTGTGGTCCCACACTACTGACTTAGGCATAATGCCTAGAGATTGACTAGAACTGCACAATGATCTAGTGGTGAGGTTCAATTTAATGGAAATCGGTGAAAGCTTTCAGGATCAAATGATAACCTTTGTCTCTTTCTTTCAGGAAAATGGCAGACAATTTTTCGGTAAGTGTTTATGCCCGTTTCTTACCCTCGATCAACTCCACATAGTTGAGGGTTGGGGGTTTTGTTTTTACCATGACTTTCCCTTTTCACTCTCCCACTGCGTGGCTTCCCCTGGACTCATTTGTCCAACGAGGGCTTGTGAGCTGGAGCCTTGTTTTTCCAGCAGCAGATTTGGGAAGAAAGCCAGGCAGAGCGAGGCCTGGGACTCACTCACAGTAACCCTTTCACCAAAAGGCCCAGGGTGGAAGGGAGTGGACTCTGCTGGCAGGAGCTGAGAAATCCTCTGAGTAGCGGGAAGCGCGGTACAGTCTGGGCATTCTGATGTTTGTGATTGTTTTTCTCACAGTGATTAAAAAATATGTGCTGTAAATAGAGGAGCGCTAGCTCTTGACTTGGGCTAATTATGAAAATGCAGCCCTCCCTGATCTGAGACGTTGGGAGGCAAGAACAAAGTGAAAAAGCATATGTAACCCCAACGTCTAATTTTAGTCTTAGACACTCAAAACTATTAACAAGTGGAAAAAGTATAATGATATGCATGTAATGCCTTTGCCATATTCCTCTCCTTCTTAGATCACATATTCCTATTTCTCTGAAAATTCTGCTTTTGAGAATGCTTTCTGTCCTGTAATTGTTTATGTCTTTCTTTACAGCTCCATGATGCCTTATCTGGGTCTGGAAACCCAAACCCTCAAGGATGGCCTGGCCCATGGGGGAACCAGCCTGCTGGGGCAGGGGGCTACCCAGGGGCCTCCTATCCTGGGGCCTACCCCGGGCAGGCACCCCCAGGGGTTTATCCTGGACAGGCACCTCCAGGCGCCTACCCTGGAGCACCTGGAGCTTATTCCGGAGCATCTGGAGTCTACCCAGGGCCACCCAGTGGCGCTGGGGCCTACCCATCTCCTGGACAGCCAAGTGCTCCTGGAGCCTACCCTGCCACTGGCCCCTATGGCGCCCCTGCTGGGCCACTGGTGAGATGGCATTCCTCCTTTCATGTACTTGGCATGCAGAGGGCTTCAGGGAGACCCTGAGCTTTAAACCTGCTGTGACAGCCACTTCTCAAGGGCCAGCCATGGGCGTATGTTGGTAGAGTTGAAAAATTAAGTGTTCATGTTGAGCTTATTGTGTGTGGTTAGTATAAACAGAAGGTAATGAGTATTTTGAAGGCACAGATAAAGCTGCTTATGAATATAAACCAAAATTGTAGTAATGGAGAACATTTTGGTTATTATTAACACTTACTGAGTACATGTCAATAATATGCATCTACATGGATGATCTAATTTAACCCCATTACCACCCTATAAGATACTGTTAATAATCCCATTTCACACGTGGGGATATGGGGCAATACAGAAGTGATATAATTTGTCCAGGGTCATTGAGCAAACAGGTAGAGGAACCAGGGTAATCTGGTTTTGAAAAACCTTCTAAAGATAATTTTGTGATCTAAGGGTTGAATTTTCATGCAAATTAAAATATGTCTTAGCAAGTGAATTCTAAATGTAAAACATAACTCCATGGGGGATCCAGATACATCTCAGCCACAGGATCCTTCCTTTCCAGATTTATAGTCTAGTTAGATGATAAAACATATAATAAATATGAGGAAAGATCTAAGTACCAGTGTGGGATTAGACCATTTCAGAACTCTGCAGAAGATGGCACAAGATAGCATTGTCTCCTTTTAGGTCGGTTTAGAGTAGAAAGACTTGGGGGAGTGGGTGGCATTGAGATGGGCTTATACCAGAGATGGTTAGTCAGTTGCAGAGAGAGGGGGACATGAAGGCTGTGGAAAGGAACAGGCAGATGTAAGAGAGATGACAGAGGAAGAACCCCCAGAACCTACTGATTATGTCTTAGAAGTCATAGAGGACTCTGACTTTTCAAGGCTGAGCAATTAGAGCCATCAGCAAAGCTTTAGCCCAAACTGGGAACTCATGAAGGGGAACTGATGGGGGAGGGGGAGGGAAGACCATTCTAGTTCACACTTGTTGAATTTGAGGCACTAGCAGCAAATGCAGGTGGGAAGAAGTAAAGTACTAATACACATCAGGACTAGAAAGAAAAGATTTGGATAGGCTGGCTGTGGTGGCTCATGCCTATAATCCCACCACTGTGGGAGGCTGAGGCAGGAGGATCACTTGAGTCCAAGAGGTCGGGGCTGCAGTGAGCTATGATCACACCACTGCACTCCATCCTCAACAACAGAGACCTGGATTTTTGAAACCTTGTCTCAAAAAATGAAAAGCTTGGGGTGATAGTTAAACCCAGAGGGAAGCCTTAAAAAGGGAAAGAAAAGAGGGCATAAATAAATAGAGCTTTGGGGATATTCACAGTACCTTGAATGTAAATGGTCAATAAACATTTGTGGAATGAACCTCAGTTTTAACAGTGTTCATTCTATAAATATTGAGTATCTGCCACGTGCAAAGCACTCTGCTGGAGCCATATGAGTACAGACCATATGAGAACCCACAAGCCCAGTATGTGATATGCTGCTTGCCTCCAGGAAGCAGAATAACCACAGTGAAGCAAGTTACATGACAGGGCCTTAAGAGTGATACAAAAATGTTGATGTTGATCACAAGATCTAGCTTAAGCCTTTCCAAAAAATAGCCAACATGAATGAGTAGATTGGGATGGCCATAGTAATGAGACTTACTGATGGCTTTCTTTTCAATTATTTGTACATGTAAGGAGCCTTATCTCTTTGGCCCCTGGGCAAAGTGGCCTGAGAGTCTGGACAGATGGCATATACTAGAGTTATGTGTTTTTCACACATATTAATAATAATGGAACTTCAGCAACATCATTTTCTTTCCCTAAAGAAAATTGACTCATATATGTACTTGTTCATTCCCAGTCTGTGCCTTATAACATGCCTTTGCCTGGAGGAGTGGTGCCTCGCATGCTGATAACAATTCTGGGCACGGTGAAGCCTAATGCAAACAGGTAAGGAGAGCAAAATTAACAAGCCTACCCTATTTGTAGACTAGTTTTTGAATAAAGAATGGCCTATTTTGATTTTTTTTTCTTGCCCTTATGGTGCTATTTTTGAATTTTAATAAAATTTTTAAAAACTACATTTAGAATCTTGGCTATACCATCATATAGGATTATCCCATAAATCCATACATATTCCCATATAATTTTGCTAAGCATCGGGGCACTCATAGTAAATGGTAACACACCTTATTCTATACTTTGATACGTATTATGTCAGCTAATCTCCATGGTTGAAGGCAGGATAAGGAATATTGCTTTCCCCTTTTTATAGACAAAACTGAGGCTCAGGTTCTACAGATGATCAGTGGCAGGCCTGGGAACCCGTCTTTTGAGTAGATACTATTTGCTTATGGGTTTGAAGAGATTCTTCAAGTTAAAAACTTCATCATAATAAATCAACCTTTGCTATTGGAAGTGGTTTGATTGATGAGGTGGGCTAGGATGGGGTGAGGCTTTATTTAGGAAAATACATGCTAATTATGGCTGTCCTGGGCCACTTGGCCCTGGTTGTCACCACTGGTTATGTAGTATTTACATACTATACAAAGAAGCTGGCCATGTCCTGAAACCATCCAGGATGCTTGTGCCTGAGGTTAGTGGAAGTATCTCTAGGTCTTAGGAACAGTACCTAAATGGTACAAATTCAAGCCATGTACACAGGTTTATGCAAGAATCCATAAACAGTCTCAGTGTCTGTCACCTTGCTCCACATCCTGCCATCAAGAGATGGACTTCACTTCTGATCTGATAATTCCACATTGAAATGCTCATTCGCTCCACCTCAGCCAGCCTCCCCTGTTTCTGCAATGGTAGTCACTATCCTAAGCCAACCCATCTTTCCACACAGCCTAGACAATTTCTGTAAGCACAGAACTTCCCCATACAATAATGCCCGTCTCATAGCAAATTACAAAATATATATATCCTCTATGTCCTCATCCATATTTCCTCCCAACATCACATAGAACCCAGCACATCTTATCTTGTGCACACAGCACTCATGATTTATTAAATATCTGCTCTCCTCCTCCCACAACCCCTAATGTACACTGAATACCCAGTGTGGTATCCTTGTCTTGTTAGAGTCATTTCACTGGAAAGTTTAGTTCTAATAATGCTAGAGATGTAGACTGAGACTGGCAGATCAAAACTAATTCTGGTTGAAATGGTTAATGGTAGTAAACTAAAAAACTTGCTTAGTCCTGCAAATTCTATATGATGAACTGCATAGAAAAAAAAAGTGCTTAAGGTGACAGAGATGACAACATTGTATATTTAGTCAAATACAAATTCTATTGCTGTTTTTTCCTTACAAATTTAATCACTGGAAGATCATTTGTGGTTGAATGTGACTTTTACTGGGTGAATCAAAATACAGAGAATCTTTGTTAGTTGGTCTCGAGTGCAGACCTGGCTTTAAAATAAGAATACCTACTGATGATTCTGGTGTTACTGCTCTATAGAGCACACTTTGAGAAACTCAGGGATGGGGTTAGTCAAAGAGGACTTGTGTTTGCATTAACATCCAGGGAGAAGGAACAGGGTCAAAAAGCTAAACTAGCAATTTCATTGGTTCCAGCTCACATCATAGAATGTTTACTACATTTACTATCATGACTTTACAACTTAGCAACAAGATATTGAATATTAACTACCTTATCTCATCCTTGCTGTTTTAGAGGAACTAGGGCTTCTGGTTAATTACGAGGAAGCCACGCATTTGATGGCTGTTAACTATATAGCTGGCTTGCCTTTACCAGGGATTGAAAGCAAACTGGAAGAGCAGGAAAGAGATAACCATTATCTATAGTAAGGGATAAAGTATCCTCAGAGTGGCTCTAAACCTCTGTAAGAAAACCTCGAAGGGTTTTCATGAGTCTGTAAAGGAGGCATTACAGATGAATGGAAATATGATCGAAGACAATGAGGCAAAAAAATTCAACATATATTGTCTTGCTTACCTTTAGATTTTATGATAGTACATAGAATATCAGGCGTAGGATACTTTCCAGTTTGAACCCATTCTGATTTGCTTTCTGTTCAGAAAAATTTCCTAGGTACTGTATTATGAAATTATTTGCTTTTTAGAAAATTATATTCTTTACTTCGTGTAGATATACAGTTTTAATCATTTTAATAACTGGTCTTTGGTTTAAAACAGAATTGCTTTAGATTTCAAGAGAAGGAATGATGTTGCCTTCCACTTTAACCCACGCTTCAATGAGAACAACAGGAGAGTCATTGTTTGCAATACAAAGCTGGATAATAACTGGGGAAGGGAAGAAAGACAGTCGGTTTTCCCATTTGAAAGTGGGAAACCATTCAAAGTAAGTTACTGCTACTATTATATATTGATAATGTGCATTTCTCATGAGAAATCACTCTAAAACCACAAAGCACTTGAAGTGAGTTTTCATCACCTGTCCTAAGGTGCCTAACCAGTGTATCTTCTCCCTGCCCAGGGGACCAGGCTCAGCAGGCTGAGAACATGGCCAGGAGTGGCACACTCCGCACTTCTTTCAGGCACCTCACCAGCATCACTGCTGCCACCCTTCTGAGTTTAAGCCTTTCTAGAGATGAAAAGAATATAATCTTTAACAAAAAAGGCAAAAGTCTTTATGGTACAGTTGTACTGCAACTTTGTTGCTTAAAACAATACAGTTGGGCTGGGTGCTGTGGCTCACGCCTGTAATCTCAGCACTTTGGGAGGCTGAGGTGGGTGGATCACAAGGTCAGGAGATCGAGACCATCCTGGCTAACACGGTGACATCCTGTCTCTACTGAAAATACAAAAAATTAGCCGGGTGTGGTGGCAGGCACCTGTGGTCCCAGCTACTTGGGAGGCTGAGTCAGGAGAATGGCGCAAACCCGGGAGGCGGAGCTTACAGTGAGCTGAGATCAGATCGTGCCACTGCACTCCAGCCTGGGTGACAGAGTGAGACTCCGTCTCAAAAAAAAAAAATAAAAAAAAAGATGGCAGAAAAAAAAAAAAGTTGGCATAGAGATCAAAACTAAATGTTTTTTATTCTAAAATTAAAGTTTTATGAAAAGTTTATAAATTTTAAAATTAACAAGGTTTCCTTTCCTTTACTCCTTCCCCCATCCTTACAAAGGTTGCAATTTGATGAGTATCTTCCTAGTGTTTTCTGACATACAGCACGCTTTTTATTTGTAAGCACTGCTTCAACAAATATTAGGTCCACAGCATTGAGTTAGGGTTGACTATAGAGTGGTAAATAAAACAGCTGGACTGTAAACTCTTCAACAACAGGGACAAATAAGGACCATAGTCTACATTTGGTGGACATCTTTTCATATCAGAATATTGTTACTTAATAGCATTTTTTTTTTTTTTTTTTTTGAGATGGAGTCTTGCTCTGTCGCCAGGCTAGAGTACAGTGGCACGATCTTAGCTCACTGCAACCTCTGCCTCTCAGGTTCAAGTGATTCTCCTGACTCAGCCTCCCGAGTAGTTGGGATTATAGGCGTGTGCTACCATGCCCAGCTAACTTTTGTATTTTTAGTAGTGATGGAGTTTCACTGTGTTGACCAGGATGGTCTCGACCTCTGGACCTCGTGATCCACCCACCTTGGCTTCCCTAAGTGCTGGGATTACAGGCATGAGCTACCACGCCCGGCCAATAGTATTTCATTTTTAGATGTGATAATTTAACTAGTACCCCACTGATATAAATTTACAGAATAGAAACACTCCAACCTGGAAATGTTTTACTAAAATACTGTAATAACTATCCTTACAAATATTTTCTTCCTAGAAGCAAATCTTCTAGAAATCTTTGCTTTAAATATATATGTTTACAATTTAGATATTATCAAATTTCTGCCTCCAAAAAGATGTAGGAATGAACATCCACTAACTATTGGAAGAGTAGATTTCTCCTACCCTTGCCAAAACTGATTATCACTAATCTTTACAACATTTGCCAAAAGAATCCTACTTTTGTGTTTTTCTTTTAGGTGTTTTAGGCCATACCAGAACTTTTGGTTGTTTTGAGACAGAGTTTCACACTGCCACTCAGTCTGGAGTACAGTGGCACAATCACAGCTCATTGCAGCCTGTCAACCTCCCAGGCTCAAATGATCCTCCCACTTGAGCCTCCTTAGTAGCCGAGACTACAGATGTATGCCACCCACGCCTGGCTAATTTTTTTATTTTTTTTTGTAGAGATGGGATTTCACCATGTTGCCTGGGCTGGTCTCAAACTCCTGGGCTCAAGAGATCTGCCCACGCCTTTGCTTCCCAAAGTGTTGGGATTACAGGCGTGAGCCACCACACCCAGGCTCTTTTAAGTTTTTATGCAGGCAAATCCTTAGCCTTCACCTTTATGGCTTCACTTATATATCCTTGTAATAAATTTGTTGCTTTAAAAAAAAATCTGAATAACTTGGAATTTTTGCTGTAAATTACTTTCTCTGGATCTTAACTGGTCCCACGAATGATAAGGATGAAATGTTGGACATCCTGAGTTCAGGCCAGACTGGTTTGAAATTACTTTCAGTTGACAAAAAATTGTTTCTATCATGTACATGAAACATGTATATATTGTAGAATGGCTAAATCCAGCTGACATATGCATTACCTCATGTAATAGTTTACATATATGCCATTTCAGATACAAGTACTGGTTGAATCTGACCACTTCAAGGTTGCGGTGAATGATGCTCACTTGTTGCAGTACAATCATCGGGTTAAACAGCTCAATGAAATCAGCCAACTGGGAATTTCTGGTGACATAGACCTTACCAATGCTTCATACACCATGATATAATCTGAAAGGGGCAGATTAAAAAAAAAAAATCTAAACCTTACATGTGTAAAGGCTTTATGTTCACTGTGAGTGAAAATTTTTACATTCATCAATATCCTTCTTGTAAGTCATCTACTTAATAAATATTATAGTGAATTACCTGTCTCAATATGTCATTTAATTGGAGTGGTTTATTCTCGATAACGTGCAATGGAAAAAATATGCAGCAATATTAATACTGCATTGGGGCCTCAAGGTTTCCTATACTTGTTAAAATCTTTTTCTTAAGGAGAGAAAGTAAATACTACCTCAAGATTCTCTCTTCCAGAATTTCATAAAAATCAGGAGATGTTTCAAGGAAATTATTCTCTCATTTTCTTAAGGAAATATGTTCAGGAAATGAGAATAGCATTAAGAAAAAGTTTACCTATAGATGACCTATAGACAATTATTGTTAGGATTCTGGTATATTTCTTGACTGCTTTTTAATCCTATTTCTCCTTCTAAACTATAGTTTGCTGCTTTCAGATCAGTAATTTAATACCAATAAAGGAACATCTCCCTGGTTTTTATGAAATCTCTTACAGAGAAAAAAGGTATCTTATATAGTCAGTTTTCAAAATTTAATTGTTCCCATCGTCAACATTCTTACCCATGCCTTTCTACCCTTATTAGCAGCAAGCCCAAAGATTAATAAAATTCCAAAACTAGGATATGGCAAAACCACTTCATCTTATAGAAGACCAAATTTTTTTTTTTTTTTTTTGAGATTGAGTCTCGCTCTGTCACCCAGGCTGGAGTGCAGTGGCGTGATCTCAGCTCACTGCAACCTCTGCCTCCTGAGTTCAAGCAATTCTCTGCCTCAGCCTCCTGAGTAGCTGGGATTACAGGTGCCCGCCACCATGCCCCGCTAATTTTTGTATTTTTAGTAGAGACGGGGTTTCACCATTTTGGCCAGGCTGATCTTGAACTCCTGACATCATGAACCACCTGCCTTGGCCTCCCAAAGTGCTGGAATTACAGGTGCCCACCACCAAGCCACGCTAATTTTTGTATTTTTAGTAGAGACGGGGTTTCACTATCTTGGCCAGGCTGATCTTGAACTCCTGACATCATGATCCACCTGCCTTGGCCCAAAGTGCTGGGATTACAGGCGTGAGCCACCACACCAGGCCCAAAATATTTTATACAATACTACCTTTTCACATCTGTTAAATTAGTAATTGTCACAGGTTGGGTTTCCCAGGAAGCAGAGAGATTAGATCTCAAGAGGCTTGTGAGGGAGTGTACTTGCAATCAGTACATGCGGGGATGGGAAAGACATGATTGGGTTGAGGGAGAAGTTGAGCAGCAATAACTTAGCCTACCCTACAGGAGTTCTGAAGCTGGGGTTCTCCTTCAGAGCTGCAAGGCGGCCAGGCCTTTTTATACCCCCACTTTGATCAGTCACTGACTATAGGACAGCTGGGAAAGAGAATGTGACCTGAGATAACATGGCTCTCTTCAGCTGACACAGCACAGTCCTCACAAGGGATGTCAGCTGAGGGCTGCTGCCAGCAGCACTTCCTGCAGCTCAAGGAGTAAGTCCTCTATTGCTAAAGAGGGATGTGGGCAGCATATCATAGCATATTTCAAAAAATTCCTTACCCTAACATTTGGGTCTTGACTTCTACTCTTATTAAATAAATGGAAGAACATAGCTTTGGAGAAAAGAGAGAACTTGGTTTACACAAAATTACTTAAATCCTCTGAGCCTTGGTTCCTTTGTCTATCAAATGCACAGGTCTTATAGAGTTACTGTAACATTAAGTAAAATATTGTTTGCAAAGGGACTGTCAAATAGTAGGTCCTCAATAAATAGCAATTCCCATTCTATTTTGGTAGAAAAGAACTTTTTTTTTCCTCTGACAATACACTGCATTAAGAACTCTTGCTCTGTCCAAAAGAGTTTTCTTTCATTTTGTCTCTAAAAATTTTCCTAATACCTCATAATTCTAGACTCCAATAGCCAAGCACGTTATCTGGTAGGGGACACTGATGGTTGCCTACCCAATATCCATTCCTTGTTTCCTAAGAGCCAAAGTTTTATTCAGGTGTGATCCCAGATTCAACAGGGAATTCTGATTCATTTAAGTCAATCCCCTACTGGCTTACTGATCTGCAGATGGGGATGTGGCATTAGTTGGTCTAATCAGGCCAAAGGGAAGGACATAACTCTAATTGCCAATAGCAGCCATCTTATGACCCCAAAAAGACCCAGCCGTAGAGGAGAAGCCGACATCAAGGATAACAGAATGAACTAGGAATAGAAAGTTGGACCTTGATGTGATCACTGAGCTATTGATTATAAAGTACCCGGAATCACTTTGATAACTTGTGAAATAATAAATTTCCTTACTGTTAAGCCAGTTCGAGTCCATTCCTTGTTTGGGTAATTCAAACAAGCCATGTAGGAAAAAGAAATAAACTAGGATTTTCTAATGGCCCAGGGCCATGAACAGCTGAAAGCTTTCTAAACAACTCAGTGATACATCTTATTAAAAATCACATTTACTGACATTGTCTTATTCTGATCTGCTTTATTTTTGAGAGCAAAATATTGTTGTGTTGCATATTGCTTTGTATTAACTGTAAATCTTGGGTTTCTTTGTACCAGTCTTTTAAATGTTCATGTGACTGATATGTTATATGATTGATACGATTTTTTTCAAAAGTAAAAAGCATCTCCTCAATGTCTCTTGGGCATGCCAATGGGAAAATGAAAACAAAAAGGCAAGGACTTAATGGGTACCTCTAATGATTGAAGTGTTTGAAACCGCAGCATGTCAAACTGACTTCAGAATCCAGAAAGCTCCTGTAAAGAAACTCAGAATACTATGGAAAAATGTAATACCCAAAGCTGTTCAACGTCAACAAATTTAGGATTTCAAACTAAGAATAAAGTGTAAAAAGATGCAAATACTTCTGTCACAGGTTAATATTTCAATTAAACTAAAGAATGTTTAAAAGTGCTAAGTATACTTAGCCTTAAGCTCATTCCTTTCAAACAAGAGAGGCAAGGCACAGTATATTTTTTATTCTGTGTTGAAAATGTACAAAATATCCCCACTTCCCTTGAGAAAGAGTATATCTAAAATACACTTTGATGAACAGAGTATTAAAACATTATATGATACTATAGAAGTGAACACAAATACATTTTCTCCAAAATTTCAATAGTCTAAAGAATATATAAGCATTGATAATGTGAAGGAAAATGGATTTATTTTTAAATTCAAAATTCTCCTTGTAGAGGTGAAAAAGTAATCAGGTTACCACCAAAAGAAATGTGTCTGGCATGCTCTTGATGTCTCCTCTCCAGCTGAGTAAATGGATTACTGCACTGTAGACCTGGCTGGAGAACAAATCCAGAGAAGTCAGTAAAGTATCCATCACGAGTTTCACCAAGTAATTCTTCAACATTGCTATAGTAAATTAATAACATAAATAAACCGGGTGCGGTGGTGCACACCTGTAGTCCCAGCTACTCGGGAGGCTGAGGTGGTAGGATCACTTGAACCCAGGACTTCAAGACCAGCCCGAGCAACATAGCAAGATCCCATCTCAAAAACAAACAAAAAGAAACATGTAAATATTTTCCCTATATAACAATAAAATTATAAACAACAACGATTATGCTAACTTTCCAGCAGATCTTATTTCAAATGTATAGTTTTTTTTTTAAATTGGAAAGGTATATTCAGAATATATGTATAAAAATGTGAATAATATGTAAATGGACTCAACCAGTGTATGCAGAATGAATAAAACTGAGGCCATATCTTAAGCCACTTACACAGATTCCATAAATCCTAAACCATATAATAGCACTTAATAGCCCTTTTACTACTGTGTGATCCTGCTGGGATCTTTTTACTCCCTCAAGCACTGCTTCAAGTTCAAATTATGCTACTGGGGCAAGCAATAATTTGGGTCTAAAATAGACATCTAAATATTAATATTTACAGAAGTGAAAAAAATCAGACTAAATGATAAGGTACTAAGATCTATCAATGAGAAAACATAATTGTGATGTACTTTTAATCACATTACTAATATATTAAAATATTATGATTTGGTAATCTCTGGATTTACTTATAACAACATATATTCTCAGAATCAACCATTCAGAGTTTGATCTGGGAACAGGGTTAAATCAGGTTTACATAAGTTGGCCTTATTCTAAAAGCCCTGATCCTCTAGGTCTCAGTGTATGATTAAAGAAGGCTAAAACCAAGAAAGAATGGTATGCGGGTCACAGTAACACATTTTATTCTGCTCCTGAGACACAGGACAGCCCAGGGCCTGACCACAAAAAAGGCAGCTTTGAAAAATAATGAAAGCCAAGATACACAAGGGTCTTTAAGGAATTCATGGCTTATGGAAGCTAAGTATTTGCCAGGTTTCATGAAGTTAACAAAAACTGTGGTTGTTTGATCCTATATTTGCTTTATGAATGAATTTCTTATATTCTGAGATTAAAGAAGAATAAAACCAAGGCCATTTTCTGATCTACTGTAGTAGTTAGTCTTGGAAAATTCCAAGGTAAGGCTGTAAACCAGAGGTGTAAACCATAAGAATCACTGATGAAGAAAAAAATGACAAATCCCTACTCCAGATCTTTGAAATAAAAATATCGGCCAGGCACGGTGGCTCACTTGAGGTCAGGAGTTCAAGACAAGCCTGGCCAACATGGTGAAACCCCACATCTCTACTAAAAAATACAAAAATTAGCCAGGCATGGTAGCAGGCACCTGTAATTCCAGCTACTCGGGAGGCTGAGGCAGGAGAACTGCTTGAACCCGGGAGGCAGAGGTTGCAGTGAGCCAAGATCACACCATTGCACTCCAGCCTGGGTGCAAGAGTGAAACTCTGTCTGCAAACAACAAAACAAAACAAAACAAAACAAAACAAAACAAAACAAAAAAATGTCTGGGATGGGGCTGAAACCAATGCTATATATAAACAGCAGGAAAGAGAGCACTTTTAATTCGTGCCATATCAAAGGTATGAATCGGACAGCTCTACTTAATGTGGAATTTACAGTTAATAAGGAATTAGATTCCTGAAGTTATATTTTTGGAATGCATTCATATTATACCCTGAATAAGAGATGAAATGTAAACACTG